TGTGTGTGTGTGTGTGTGTGTGTGTGTGTGTGTGTGTGTGTGTGTGTGTGTGTGTGTGTGTGTGTGTGTGTGTGTGTTGTGTGTGTGTGTGTGTGTGTGTTGTGTGTGTGTGTGTGTGTGTGTGTGTGTGTGTGTGTGTGTGTGTGTGTGTGTGTGTGTGTGTGTGTGTGTGTGTGTGTTGTGTGTGTGTGTGTGTGTTGTGTGTGTGTGTGTGTGTGTGTGTGTGTGTGTGTGTGTGTGTGTGTGTTGTGTGTGTGTGTGTGTGTGTGTGTGTGTGTGTGTGTGTGTGTGTTGTGTGTGTGTTGTGTGTGTTGTGTTACCATTGTGCGGTGAAGTCTCTGAAGGGGGGGCTGAACGTGTCGGGGAGTTGTGGGGACGGATCCTCCACCACCTGCTTCAGCTGCTGAAACGGAGTCCCCCAAGAACCGTACGGGAAGTCCAAGACCGACAGCTCCACCTGGACCAGGACCAGAACCAGAACTCAACCAGGACCAGAACCAGAACTCAACCAGGACCAGAACCAGAACTCAACCAGGACCAGGACCAGACCAAAACTCAACCAGGACCAGACCAGGACCAGAACCAGAACTCAACCAGGACCAGAACCAGAACTCAACCACAGACCAGAACCAGAACCAGACCAAAACTCAACCAGGACCAGACCAGAACTCAACCAGGACTGAACCAGAACCAGGTCTAAACCATGTCTAAACCAAGGACTGAACCAGGACTAAACCAGGTCTAAACCAGGACTGAACCAGGACTAAACCAGGTCTAAACCAGGACTAAACCAAGACTGAACCAGGACTAAACCAGGTCTAAGCCAGGACTAAACCAGGACTAAACCAAGAGTGAACCAGGACTAAACCAGGTCTAAACCAGGACTAAACCAAGACTAAACCAGGACTAAACCAAGACTAAACCAGGACTAAACCAGGACTAAACCAGGACTGAACCAAGACTGAACCAGGACTAAACCAAGACTGAACCAGGACTAAACCAGGTCTAAACCAGGACTAAACCAAGACTAAACCAGGACTAAACCAGGAGTGAACCAAGACTGAACCAGGACTAAACCAGGAATAAACCAGGACTAAACCAAGACTGAACCAGGACTAAACCAGGTCTAAACCAGGACTAAACCAAGACTAAACCAAGACTAAACCAGGACTAAACCAAGACTGAACCAGGACTGAACCAGGACTAAACCAGGACTAAACCAAGACTGAACCAGGACTAAACCAGGTCTAAGCCAGGACTAAACCAGGACTAAACCAAGACTGAACCAGGACTAAACCAGGTCTAAACCAGCACTAAACCAAGACTAAACCAGGACTAAACCAAGACTAAACCAGGACTAAACCAGGTCTAAGCCAGGACTAAACTAGGACTAAACCAGGACTAAACCAGGTGTAGTACCAGAGTGATGCCCAGACTCCAGATGTCAGACTTGACGTTGTAGCCCTTCTGGTTGGTCTCGGGGTTGATCCTCTCGGGCTGATGGGAAATAAAAAACGTTTAAACGTGACGCCATGTTGGTGCTGTAGGTGTCAGTGTTTTTATGGGTTAAATGTGACGCCATGTTGGTGCTGTAGGTGTCAGTGTTTTTATAGGTTAAATGTGACGCCATGTTGGTGCTGTAGGTGTCAGTGTTTTTATAGGTTAAATGTGACGCCATGTTGGTGCTGTAGGTGTCAGTGTTGTTATGGGTTAAATGTGACGCCATGTTGGTGCTGTAGGTGTCAGTGTTTTTATAGGTTAAATGTGACGCCATGTTGGTGCTGTAGGTGTCAGTGTTGTTATGGGTTAAATGTGACGCCATGTTGGTGCTGTAGGTGTCAGTGTTGTTATGGGATGAACTCACACGCTCATTTACATATATTTACATCCACATTTGCATATATTTGCATAGGTCCGGACTCACGGCCATATAAGGTTTGCAGCCGGCGTCCAGCGTCTTGGCCACAGAGTCGACGAGGTACCCGCTGATCCCGAAGTCACACATCTTCACCTGCCCTTCACTGTTGATCAGCACGTTAGACGGCTTCACATCTGAGGACCAGAACCAGACCAGAACCAGACCGAGGTTAGAACAAATTTAGACCAGATTTAGACCAGAGTTAAACCAGGTTTAAACCAAGTTTAGAACAGATTTAGAGCAGGTTTAGACCAAGTTTAGACCAGTTTTAGACCAGATTTAAACCAGAGTTAGACCAGGTTTAGACCAGATTTAGACCAGAGTTAGACCAGGTTTAGACCAGATTTAGACCAGATTTAGACCAAGTTTAGACCAGATTTAGACCATCAACACCAACAATCAGAGATGAGAATATTTCGAGCTCTTCTCTCGCTCGCTCTCTCGGTCCTCTGTTCTGAGTCAGACTAAAGTCCGTGTGGGCCATGTGCTAGAGTGAGGTACCTCTGTGTATGACCTGCAGATGGCTGTGCAGATGCTCCAGAGCTTTGACGATCTGAAAAACATGTTCAGAACATTAATGACCTTCACCCTGGATCGTATAACTTTCAGAGACGTGAGTTTGAAGAGACGCACAGACACGGCCATCTTCCCCAGGACCTCCTCAGGGATCTTCTGCCCTTTGGCCTTCACCTCTTTGTAGAACTTATCCAGAGACGTGTCCATCAGCTCCATGCAGATCCACACGTCGCCCTGGAACACACCACACCAGAACTTAGAACAGACAAGAGAACAGCTCAGACAGGAGAACTTAGAACTGTTCATTGCGTCGCTTTGGAAACAGAGGAAAACTATCACAGGAGAACCTCGAGCAGAGAGGAGGAACCACAGAAATCACAGAAGCTGCTCCTCTGTTCTGATCCTGTGCAGATGTTTCTGACAGAGCGAGTCCCTCAGAGCGCCCCCTGCAGTCAGACTGCACACACACGCTGACATTCTGTTTTACAGAATCGATGTTTGGACTTTTATTTTCACAAATCTGATTTTTAAAGCAGCAAGTTTGCAGCTGTAGAGCGCCTCTGGTGGACACGAATGAGTACTACACTTCAGATAATTCACCTCAAGACACATTTAAACTAAATGAAACAGATTTAAACTAAATGAAACAGATTTAAACTAAATGACACAGATTTAAACTAAATGAAACAGATTTAAACTAAATGAAACAGATTTAAACTAAATGAAACAGATTTAAACAAATAATTTCTGAACCACGACGATGAAGTCAGTGAAAACAATCATTTTCTGTCACGTTTGTTTTGTTTTGTTGGTTTAAATATGTTTAATTATAAATTTAAAAAATGGTAAATGACAAGAGCGCCCCCTGGAGGAGTGAGGAGGAAGAGCGCCCCCTGGAGGAGTGAGGAGGAAGAGCGCCGCCTGGAGGAGTGAGGAGGAAGAGCGCCCCCTGGAGGAGTGAGGAGGAAGAGCGCCCCCTGGAGGAGTGAGGAGGACGTACGTCTCTGAAGAGCGCCCCGTAGAAGGTGACGGTGTAGGGACAGTCCACCGTCCTCATGTTGATGTCCAGGTCCATCAGGAGCCTCTTCTGCTCCTGAGAGTTCACCGTGGCTCTGATCAACTGCAAGACAAAAACCAGGACTAGACCAGGACTGAACCAGGACTGGACCAGGACTGGACCAGGACTGGACCAGGACTGAACAGGACTGGACCAGGACTGGACCAGGACTGAACCAGGACTGGACCAGGACTGGACCAGGACTGAACCAGGACTGAACCAGGACTGGACCAGGACTGGACCAGGACTGGACCAGGACTAACAGAGGTCTCTGTCTCTCTGACCTTGACGGCCATGATGATGTCACTGGGGACGTGTCTCATCTTGTAGACGACGCCGTACGCTCCTCGGCCGAGCTCCGACAGCTGCACCAGGTCGTCCGCCTGCACCTCCAGGTTCTGCTCAGGTCAGAGGTCACACAGAGGTCACACAGAGGTCACACAGAGGTCAACATGAGGTCAGTGAGGTGTGTCTGTCTGACCTTTTCTCCGACCGTCACACAGGTTTTGGAGTCCAGGTCTCTGGGAGGACTGCAGAGACACACAGAGTTAGACCAGGACCAGACCAGACCCAGACCAGAACCAGACTAGACCCAGACCAGACCCAGAGTAGACCCAGACCAGACCCAGACCAGACCCAGACTAGACCCAGACTAGACCCAGACCCAGACCAGACCAGACCCAGACTAGACCCAGACCCAGACCAGACCCAGACTAGACCCAGACCAGACCAGACCCAGACTAGACCCAGACCCACACCCAGACCAGACCAGACCCAGACTAGACCCAGACCAGACCCAGACCAGAACCAGACTAGACCCAGACCCAAACCCAGACCAGACCCAGACCAGAGACCCAGACTAGACCCAGACCAGACCCAGACCAGACCCAGACTAGACCCAGACCAGACTCAGACTAAACCCAGACCCAGACCAGACCCAGACTAGACCCAGACCCAGACCCAGACCCAGACCCAGACTAGACCCAGACCCAGACCCAGACTAGACCCAGACTAGACCCAGACCCAGACTAGACCCAGGCTAGACCCAGAACAGACCCAGACTAGACCCAGACCAGACCCAGACTAGACCCAGACTAGACCCAGACTACACCCAGGCCCAGACTAGACCCAGACCCAGACCAGACCCAGACTAGACCCAGACCCAGACCCAGACTAGACCCAGACCCAGACTAGACCCCAGACCCAGACCCAGACTAGACCCAGACCTAGAGTAGACCCAGACCCAGACTAGACTCAGACTAGACCCAGACCAGACCCAGACTAGACCCAGACCAGACCCAGACTAGACCCAGACCCAGACCAGACCCAGACTAGACCCAGACCAGACCCAGACTAGACCCAGACCTAGAGTAGACCCAGACTAGACCCAGACTAGACCCAGACTAGACTCAGACTAGACCCAGACCTGGTCCAGACTGAGTCCAGAGTCCAGACTGTATAAATGGACATATCTGAGTGTAAGTGTATAAGTGTGTCTCTTCTCTCTGTTCCTGCTGCTGTCAGGTTCCTCACTCTGACCTTTGACCTTTGACCTCGCTCTACGTGACCCTGAGGTTTGGACTTTAACGTTTTGTCTCAGATCATTTCCTGGTCTCCAGATCTTTGCTCCAGACTCTCGCTGTGGCTGCTGGCCTCAGTGAGCTTCATCTGGAGCTGAACTCTGCAGAGACGACAGGACGCTTCAGTTTAAGGCCTCAGTGCTCCAGAGTCCAGAGTCCAGGGTCCAGAGTCCAGTCTTAGTCCTGGACTTGGTCTCTAAAGAGGTCTGGTCCTGAGGGGCGGGGCTAACAGCGGCATTGACCAATCAGAGAAGTCCATGTTTATATTACTGATATTTTTACACAGAAATGAGAGAGAAACTGTGACGAGGTTTCTGTTTGTCCTCGTGTTTCCTCAGACGTGTTGAGTCTAAACCGTCTTTTCTGAAGAGGAACTTGGTTGGAACATAAAGAGGAAGAGAGAAACCGTCCATAAAACCCTGACACAGACCTGGGCGCCGCAGGGTTCTGCTCAAACACTTCTCTGTGGATCTTCAGATGAGGCTTCAGGGGCTTCTTCTTACCTGCAAACAAAACACACCTGTCACTGACTCCGCCCCCTCTGACCCTCTGACTCCACCCACACACCTGAGACTGACTCTGCCCCCTCTGACCCTCTGACCCCGCCCACACACCTGAGACTGACTCCGCCCCCTCTGACCCCGCCCACACACCTGTGACCAGAGTCGGGTGATATGGAGCAAAAACTATATCTCAATATATTTTGGTGAATCTTGACATGTGCACAGGAAAAATAACCCCCCCAAAAACTCCTGCATAAACAAATCTGACAAACTCCACAAGGTCTTATTTTTTACTAAAGTGCAAAGTTCATGTAGGAACAAAGAGCTTCTGCAACATTTACAAAAAAACCCTGTATAAAAAATTTAACTGTAAAATTTAGGAGGAAATAAAACATATTTCCTTCTTTTCATTCAAAAGTAAAACAACTCAACTCCAGCTCATGTTTGTATTCACTCTGTAACTGTACGATGAACATGAACATGAACATGAACATGAACATGAACATGAACATGAACATGAGCTCCTTCAGCGTCAGAAGCTCAGGAGGTTCATTCTTTTAACAGACTCATGTTCCTCACCAGAGTAAAGAGCTCTGAAGTTTAATCCCACAATCCGCTGCATCAAACGCAACACTTCAAACACTGTTGTACAACCTGCAGCAGATTAATCATGAAAATCTTCTGCATAAATAAATATTACTTTATTAAACTTTACAACAAATAAACAGAACGACTCAAGAGCCTCATCAGCCTGTTTGAGTTTATCATGTGTTTAATTCAGCTTTGACACATTTGTTTATGTTTTACACAAATGAAATTTAAAACCACATGACTCATTTGCATAAACTCGCTCCTTGTGTCGGGCGATCAAGGCGAGCGCAGAGAAGCAAACGAGCGAAACGGCGAAATTCAGAATTAACTATAAACATTATATCGATATACACGGTATGACAGAATCTATATCGATGTTTTAAAAATATATATATAAATATTGAGATATCGTCCACACACCTGTGACTGACCCCGCCCCCTCTGCCCCCGCCCCCTCTGACCCCGCCCTCTCCTGTTTAAGCGCTAAACGTGTGTGAATGAAACAAAACACAGTAACACTTTATAATAACTACACCTTATTTATCCTTAATAAAGCATGAACAGAGACTTAATTAATAAAGAACAAATACTTTATTAAGAGTCATTCAGGCTTAATAACGACTAATTTTATACCTTAATTAGCACTTAACTTTCACTTAATGAGCCTGTGCTGTAAACAGTTACTCATAATGATTTCATACTTAGTTCCTCATGAACTAAACATGTGTGTGTGTTTATAAATGTTTATTTAAGTAGAGAATTATTCACTCTGAAATAAGTCCATGTTCATTGTTAATTAAGTCTTTATTCATGCTTTATTAAGGTTAAATAAGGTGACGAGAGCAGAGGATTATGGAACATTTAAAGCCCCAATGTGGAACATTCCAGACAAAGCACGAACATCTCCATGGAGACGAAAAAGTGACCTCATCTGACCCCACACCTACACCTGATGCCCTCCCACACACACACACACACACACACACACACACACACACACACACACACACACACACACAGACACACACACACACACACAGCACACGTACACACAGACACACACACACAGACAACACACACACGTAGACATAGACACACAAACAAACACACACACACACACACAAACAAACAGAGAGTTTACACCTGATGCCCTCCCTCAGTCCCTCAGACAGTGTCAGAGCAGCTGCAGCTATTTATGGAGCAGTGTGTGTGTGTGTGTGTGTGTGTGTTGGGGGGTCAGAGGACCAGAGGCACTTTGTGACCTGAGTCCAGACCTGACTCTGGTTCTGACTCTGGTTCTGACTCTGGTTCTGACCCGGGTCTAAACTCGGGTCTAAACTCGGGTCTGGACTCGGGTCTGTCTCTGATTGGCTCTTCTCTATCCCCGTGCCCCGCACACACGCGCACACTCACGCGCTTCCAGGAAATGCTCAAACCGGAAGTGCCCCAAAACTCGGCTCGCGCGCCTCTGAACCCCGCTTTCTCGCGTGCACGGGGCAGCGCGTGCAGACGTGCGTGCAGAAGCGTGCGCGCGTGCGCGTGTCCTACCTGCTCGGGGCGCAGGCCCGCCTCGTCCGCCGCTCGCGCCCTGCATCGTGCACGCGCCTTCTGCAGAATGGACGCGCGTGACGAGGTTCCGCGGTGCGCGTGCGTCCGTGCACGAGGAGCGGGAGCGTGCACGAGCCCCCGCACGGCCCCGGGTCTGCAGAGTCCGGACCAGAGTCTGGACCGGAGCCTGGACTAGACTCGGATCAGAGTCTGAGCGGGGACTTCCGGCTCCGCGCGGTGCACCACGGGAGCTGGAGTTCGGGGCGGGCCTCACGCGCACAGAGCGTGCACCGCGCGTGCAACGCGCGTGCGCCGCGCAGGGGGGTTTATGAAGAAAAAGAAAGTGAAGAAAAAAAGAGACGAAAATAACAGATTCTGGAGCAGAGAGAGAGAGTGTGTGTGTGTGTGTGTGCGTCTCTTTGTGTGTGTGTGTCTTTGTGTGTGTGTGTGTGTGTAGTGCACAGATTCAAATATGTGTGTGTATCTGTAGATATAATAATTCTCCTGTAGCCACAGCTGCCTTGGGGCAGACTGACAGAAGTGAGGCTGTCAATCTGCACCATCAGCCCCTCTGACCAACAACAGACACACACAAACACAGTGTAAAACTCTATGGAGCCTCCTGGAGAACTTCCTGTTTGGCACACGACAGCTACAGTGTTAAATCTGAACACTCAGATACAGACTATGGTCACGTCTGAGGAGGAGACTCAGACTCAGACTCAGACTCAGACTCAAAGACTGAGAAATTCAGGTTCAGTCTGGTGCTTGAGGCGGAAGTGTATGAGGGGGCTCACAGCTCCTCTGAGGCTCTGGAGGAGGAGGAGATCTTTCCTGAGGATCATAAGTGTGTGGATGTGGTGGGTCTTTGCTGATGTGTCTCTGTCGTCGTGTTCGGGGCCTGTGTCTCTGCACAAACTGAGACAGACGTTTTTATAAAGTTGTTTTCCTGAGCGCTTCATTCATTAAAATAGAACGTCTGAGTAAAAATGTGTGTTTATGTCACTTTTTCTTGAGTTGGAGTCGGATCCTCTGAGTTTCAGAGATCACATGACTGCTGCATGTTTCACCTGGAGTCTGCCTGGCGCCTGATGACACGCCGCCTCTGATTGGCCGAGCTCTCAGGTGTATGTACCTGTGTGTGTGTGTCTGAGTTTGTATCAGAGCGATGATGAAGCTGGAGCTGCTGCTGTGTGTTCTGCTGTCAGCCTCTGCCCAAGGTCAGTACCTCAAATACTACAAATACTACAAATACTACAGAGGTGTACTACAAATACTACAGAGGTGTACTACAAATACTACAGGGGATTATTACAAATATAGAGAAGAGCAACAAAATTCAGCTCAAGTCTGTGAACTGTTTCAGAGTGAAAACATTATGTGTGTGAGGGGGCGGAGCTATGAACTTACAGAACTTTACAGACTGGTTCTGGTCTCTCACGGGTTATTTGGATCTTTGTCCAGTTGACAAAAGAAAAGTTTATTTGTTCAGCACAATTCACACACAAAGTGATTCAGAAGACAAAACAAATCAGAACATAAATAAACGTCAACAAATTTAAAAGAGAGAAACACATTCAATTAGAGAAGAAGAAGAAAAGTGAAATGAAAAATGAAAATGTTTGAGTGAGACGCTGATAAACAAAGAGTCTGGATTTAAACCGAGTCAGAGTCGAGTCTGTGTCACAGGTTCAGACTGATCCAGGTTTGAGCTGCAGGAATCTGAAACTCTGACTGCCCGAGTTTAGTCCAGACTCTGGCACCAGCAGGAGACCGGGTCTAAACCAGGACTGAACCAGGATTAAACCAAAACTAAACCAGGATTAAACCAGGACTGAACCAGGACTGAACCAGGTCTAAACCAGAACTAAACCAGGATTAAACCAGGACTAAACCAGGATTAAACCAGGACTGAACCAGGACTGAACCAGGTCTAAACCAGAACTAAACCAGGATTAAACCAGGACTAAACCAGGATTAAACCAGGACTAAACCAGGACTAAACCAGGACTGAACCAGGACTAAACCAGGTCTAAACCAGGATTAAACCAGGACTGAACCAGGACTAAACCAGGACTAAACCAGGTCTAAACCAGGATTAAACCAGGACTGAACCAGGACTAAACCAGGATTAAACCAGGTCTAAACCAGGACTGAACCAGGACTGAACCAGGACTAAACCAGGACTAAACCAGGTCTAAACCAGGATTAAACCAGGATTGAACCAGGATTAAACCAGGTCTAAACCAGGATTAAACCAGGACTGAACCAGGACTAAACCAGGTCTAAACCAGGACTAAACCAGGACTAGACCAGGTCTAAACCAGAACTAAACCAGGACTAAACTAGGACTAAACCAGGTCTAAACCAGAACTAAACCAGGACTAAACTAGGACTAAACCAGGTCTAAACCAGGTCTAAACTAGGACTGAACCAGGACTACAGGACTACATAAGGCACTAACATGTCACAGATGGACTTTGGTGCTCGACCCTGAAGAGACTGGCACAAACAGAGCCACTTTAAAGTCTCTGAGCCACAGGACACGAATTTGTGAATCGTAGGATGGTTGGGGAACGTACCACCTTCCTCACCTCTGATTGGCTAAAATGCCTCTCCTGTGATTGGCTGTTTCATTTGGCCATGAAAAAACTGTGGGCTGGTTCTGCGATGCTGGAGCTGCGTCTTTACGTCTTATAGGCGAGTTTCAGCTGACGTCATTGTTATTAAAAACCCGCATTGCTGCTGGGAAATATTTTGGTCGGAGGCAGAAACACGGTAGCGTCAAACACAGTGTGTAACCTCGTGTATTTCTCCCCGATGGTCAATTCCTGCTGCATTATCGGACGCACAAATAGAAACACAGAAGAAGGAAAATGTCTTTTTCGTTTTCTGAGTGAAAAGAACCGCTAACGGTGAATTAAACGACTTTCAAACATCTGCAGAGCAAACGTAGAAGATCCTAACAAACCGTGGACTCAACAAGTTCAACAACACATCCAGACTCTTGGAGGTTTTCATCTTTTCTGCTGTGAATGGCCCAGGAGTTTCCACCAAGTCATTGTGGATGTCGCCCAAGTGAATATTTGTCCAGGGAGTTGGAGATTCTGACCAGAAGTTTGGTTTGTTCCACCTTTTGTCGGGGTTGAAAAGGGTGATTTGTCGTCCGTCGATGTTTATGACCAATTTCTGGTCAAATGGTCTTGGGTCGTCTGCCGTTAGAGTGGATAAATAACTGGGATCAATACCCTTTACGTGTTTTCTCACTCCGTCCGTCATGTTGAATTAGTGTTTATTGCTGCCGACCAAAATAATTCCCAACATGCAACGCGCGCTTTTGTCAACAATGAAACTCGCCTATACATGGACATGTTTTGTGTGGTACGTAGGGATTTTTTAAACTTGTAATAATTTGTACAGTCCAACTGCGTGGATCCCAGAAATGTGTAAGAACTGTAACAACTTTATTTTGGTCAGATTCAAAACTTAGAGTAAAAGAAAAAGATCGAGGGGCAGTGTGTGTAAAGGCCGAGTGTGTGAGGGAATGTGAACACACACGAGACGACGGCTCAGATTTTATCTCAGATGTTCAGCGATGAACATGAGATGATGCTTTAGAGGCCAAATAAAACAGCCAATCACAGGAGAGCCAATCAGCCATTTTAGCTAATTAGAGGTGAGGAAGACGGTACCTTCCCTTGCCATCCCATGGTTCGCAAATTTGTGCACAGGACACATGTGCTCGTACATCCTGGTCGGAGTCAGAACCTGGAGCTGCAGAGTTCTGGATGTTCTGAATGTTCAACTCGTCTGGAGAGAACAGTGAGAGAACATTATAGGAGTTTAACCTCCTGGAGACAAACACATGGATAAGTCTCTCCAGTTCTGCTTTAGACAGTAAACCTTTGATTTTTTCAGTTTTTCTGATGGTAAAAGCTGCAGATGTGTTTGATTTGATGTGGCTGTTAAAGTTCAAGTCTGTGTCCATTATTATGTGTAGATTTCTCGCCTGATTTGCAGGTGTTGGAGAGAGAGACACTGGAGGTGATGTTGACTCTGTCTCTGTTTCTGTGACTTGTGTCTTGTCTGAGTTTCTCTGGAGAAAGTCATTTTGTCTCCACACTCTGATCTGTTGGACGCAGAGGCAGAGTGAGTCTCCTGCTGCAGTGAGACGTAGATCTGAGTGTCGTCTGAGTTGTGGTCGGACACGTTATTGCTGCGTATGAACTGGCCTGTAGGGGGCAGCATGTACAGACTGAACAACAGGGGGCCCAGGATCGACCCCTGAGAGACCCCACAGGTCAGGACCATGTGACCTGAGACACAGTTTACAGTTTCAACAAAATACTTCCTGTCTTCTAGGGAGGACTCGAACCAGTTCTCGGGGCTGTAGTGGCTTTAAAACCTGACTGGAAAACATCTAAGGAGTTGTTCATTTGGAGAAAGTTCATAAGCTGTCGGTTAACAGATTTTTCAAGGCCAAAAAACGGGAGATTTGAGATGGGTCAGAAATTGTTCAGTTCTGTGGCATCAGCACTGCTCTTCTTTAGGAGAGGCTTAATGAGCACAGTTCTCAAAGATCTTGGGAATGTTCCAGATTAAAGTGGCACGTTAACTATGTGAGTGAGAGGTGAAACTGTTGAAGAAGGACTTTAGAAATCTAGTGGGTAATAGAATTTTCTTTTGAGTCCACCATGTCCCACAGAGGTCAGAGTCATGGTGCGTGACATGGTGGACTCTGCAGGTTCTACAATGGGGAGTGTGAGTTGTACTTTTTGTTACATTAA